TTCTCTTAAATCCCTAAATATATGCATCAGTTGTTATTTTAAATGTGAGCTTGCATTTATATTTATTTGAAGGCACGTTTTTTATTTTCACTTATTCCTATTTTTCTCTTTCTTGAGGTCGAAGTAGCCTATTTCATAACACCGATGTAACATTATGCAAGTCTAACATAAACAGCAGTGTAATTTCAGGGCATTTTGCAAGAAGCATGTTTACAACAGAAGATACCATTTGATGTGAATAGTGCTTTGTGCCTACAGATTCCTCCAAGTATTGCTCAGTCAGCACAACAAAAAAGTATAGTTTAGCTAGGAGAGAAGATAGTGTGTACAGAAGTTTACCACTTCTTAAAGTAGTGGATGCAAAAAACACTAAACCACTGTTGCTCATAGGTTTTCATTATTTTTTTCTGTGCATGTGTGTGTATGAAGAAACAGCTGAAGTGTTTAGAGTGATGGACAGAATAAAGCGATTTTTATGAAATTGGACATATTAATTCAAAGTGAAGGAGCTTAAGTCAAGCAGAAAAGCTTTGCTTAACTAAAAAAGGTGCTGTGATTGTCAGTTGTTGAAAGTAAGACTTTGGATTTGAGTCTACCCATCTTGACCGTATTCATGTTTTTTCTTGTAATAAGTCTTTACTGCATGATGTGGTCAAAACCTTCGTAAAATAAGATTATCAAACGCCTACATTTGAAGACAAAGATGTGAGTCCAAGCACATGTTAACCTTGTGATTTTTTTTCTAAACACTGCCTATTCTGTTAACATCTGCCTCCTCACTGAACATCATTTATGAGCATTTTGATTCTGTCATACTCTAATTCATCACTCAATGCTTCTACTTAGCAGACCTTGACAAGCGTTTTAAAATCCCCCCACGTTTACATAAAGACGCGCATTTATACAAAGCAGAGCAACCTTGAGTTAGTGAGAAGCGTTATCCCTCCTTCATAAAGACGTCCTATTCAAACTAGTTTTTTTTCCTCTCTCTCTTTCTCTCTCCACATTTTTGTGTGTTAGATTGAAGTACATTGAAGTTGCATTTTCTGGGTGGATTCCAGAAGGATGACAAGTGACAGAGAGAGCGAGAGATTTCAATGTGCAACAGCATTTTGTACTTACACTTTTATTATTATTATTATTATTATTATTATTATTATTATTATTATTATTATTATTATTATTATATTTCAAATATGTTTTCAAACGGTGCCATCAAATGATCGTTTCACCAGAATGCATTCACCTATATGAAGCTGCACTATTATAACAAATGCAAAGTCATATTAATATTTGAGTGTTTAGTTGTTTAAATGTGATGCAATATTAATAAAGGTAGCAGTCAACCATTTTCAGTCAGTCAGATTAATATTTGCAATGGTTTACTAAAGACACGACTGAGTTGTTCATCACGCAACACCTTTAGTGTCCTCATATGTAATCAGACAGCGCCATCTGCTGTTTGATAAAGAAACTTTATTCTGAGACCACAGTTTGATGTTTACAGTATATAAAGAAAACAGTTTAAAAGAAAGAATGACAAAAATCTAATATGTTTGACTTCTATTTAAGTCCGGACCCTGGATTTGTTGAAATAAACCGTTGCATAGGTCACACTGTCTGTTGGTGGTGTCTGTTGAGACATTATTTAACTAATTAGAAGTGAAAATATTCTTGGGAAAATTGGCTAAAGATCTGTTCGTAGCACAATAAGTGATCAAGATTCACTGAAAGAAAAAATATTGATATACTCTAATTACTTTACTAATCTGCACTCACCTCATTTCTTACATTTGTGTTTGTTATTTCTGCAGGGGAAAAAAAAAGCAATTATGAAATGGGGTTGAAATGAGATGGCATCATGTCATTCCTGCTTGAGAAAGGTCTTACCATGACTGTTTCTGCTTGTATGATGGTATGCTTCATGGCTTTTTTCTCTGATTCCCAGTGTACTTCTGCGCTTTGCTAGAATGAGGGGATGAAAAATAAAAAAATAAAACTTCTTCAGAAATCTTGTTCACAAAGGTCACCAGCATTATGCAAACGTTATGTATAAGCTTGCATGAGAATAGTTATACGTTTTGAGTAGCTCTTTATGTTAAAGTTCTGTTTCACATGCACATAGCCGTTGGGTAGTATTACATAGGTAATATCTAATGTATTATCCTAAACCTTGCCTAAACCCAGTTAACTTGTTCAATCCAGTACTTTTTAAGGAAATTACACAGTATGCTGGCAGTTAGCTCTCTGCAACTCTCACATAGTCTCTTATTGAGTCACACCGGCATGTACACATATTTAAACGACCATTTGCCAAATTACACTAACACATAAACTTTGTTGTCATATACAATTTTTAGGTTCTGATTTGTTTTTTAGTATAACTGGTAATATTTGTCAGTTAAATCATTTCAATGCAAATGCAAGCAATGTACATATAAAACGATTGCTATATTTCATTTATATATATATATATATATATATATATATATATATATATATATATATATATATATATATATATATTTTTTTTTTTTTTTTCCATCAATCTGAATACCTCTGTCATTCCTCATTTCACTGATATTGATATAGACTGGTTCAGATTCCTCAGCATCAGCTTGCACTGAAATTATTCCAAATACAACAAGACTTTGAGTAAAGAAAGAAAGAAAGAAAGAAAGAAAGAAAGAAAGAAAGAAAGAAAGAAAGAAAGAAAGAAAGAAAGAAAGAAAGAAAGAAAATGGCAATGGGATCGAATTTACTCTATTAATATAAACATACACAATAAACAGCATAATATATCAGCTTAAATGAGACCATACACTAAACTAAGAAAACATAGAAACTTAAATGCACAGACTGATTAGCATTATTAGCATTATTATGTACATGAGATGAAAATAATCATAAGATTTTTTTTTTTTTTTTTTTTTTTTTAGAGGTATACTGAAGGTGAGTGAGTGCCAGCTTTTTTGTACCTGATGTTAGTTTTCTGTAGAAGTAATACGAAAGAGCTCCAAGCAGAATCCCAAACAAACTCAACACAGTGGAAACTGTAATTTTTGTGTAATTTGCTAAAAGAAAACAGACCTCATTAGTACATAAAAGTGTACATTTATTTCAGCTGGCTTGTACCTGGATCACTTGAAGATGGGCTTGAACATTACTTTGTGTCTTGGTGTAATTTTTTTTTTTTTTTACTTCTGAAAAAATATATTATGCTTCATTTATCCTTTATGCTCTGCTTAGTTTGGTTGTCATTTGTTCTGTTTGGGGTTAGTGTGACCCCAAAATGTATTATATATATTGGACTCATCTTTGTCTTCAAATGTAGGCATCAGATAATGTTATTTTAATTATCTCAAGTTCATCAAACTTTCTCAACGTTTGTGACTTCAGATTTAAATGTACAAATAAATACAAATGTCCTTTTTATGTGTTTTAAAGTGTCTCTTAGAAAAAAAAGAAAAATAAACAAAGCCAAAAATGTTTTTTAAAGAAAAGAATTGTCGTTGCATGTTATTTATTTAAATTAACCAAATATTTTTTTTAAATCATTAAATTTAGGATTTAACAGAAATGTATTAAATATGTGAATCAATTCAACAGCATTATGAAGACATGAACAGGAGTGAAAAGTCATTGACATTTCCAATTCCTTTTCAGTTGGAGTCATATTGTCCAAAACATGACAAATATAACTTTTTTCCCACACCCGTGTTGTGTGTACATGTACACATTTGGTCTCACCCTTTCATAATTGTGTTTTATATTTTTTGATTATTATATTTGTACTACCAGGCTTTCATTTGTGTCAATTTTTCTGATTTATAATGATTTGGTTTAATTTTACAGACTTTTATAAAAAGGTGCTTTTAACTTTAGAAAGTTCGATTTTTAAAAGCAATATCTTAATTCTGAATATTCATCGCATCTGCAAACAGATGAAACAACATTTTAAGATAAGGTGACTTTCTCTTCTAACTCCCATCGCTAAGAATCCACAATTTATTCCATCAACATTAGATGGGACTTTTACACAATGAAAGGAAATGGGTGCACAGAGGATCATTTCGCTAATAGAAATCTAGCTTCGTTTAACCAATTCCAACATAAATTTTAAATTCCATTATTTTTTACAGATTAGGAACTACACACATGCCCATCCATCTTCATTGGAAAGTACATCCCTTTCAATCATTGACAAATGCCTTGACTGGTGTAAAGGTAGTAAAGAAGCATTACCAATAATTTATGAACAGCTGCAATATGTTGCATCCCTCTCCAAAATCTTAAAGTCTTAAAGAAGAGTGGGAAAAAAATTGTGAGTGCAAACTTTGGAAGAAATGTGGCCATCTGGTTTGGAGGGTATTAATAAATACTCTATTAATTCTAGACATTGTCTTATTTAGTTTAAAATAATTCATACATTATTCAAAAAAAAAAGTGACAGAATCTTGCTAAATATTTCACCTCTTTGCGACGAATGTAATTCATTTGATGCGGATCTAACTCGCAGCTTTATTTTTTGTTTTAAGATACAGAATTATTGGAATGGAATTTTTGAAGTTTCTGAAGTGCTTTCCAAGGTGTTGAAGTGAAACTCAAACAACTTGAAAAAAATTGGAATCCTTTTATCTGTTGCCTTGAAAAAAGCTTTGTGGAATAATGCATCAATTCTGTAATGTTTTCATGTGCTTTGTCCTAATATAATAATACCATATTTGTAATAAAAATGCTTTATCGTACCCTGTTGTTCAAGCAGGTCTTTGTAACAAGTTGGCTTGTTAGGTGTTTTTTTTTTTTTTTTTTTATGATTTTCGTTTTTTTTTTTTTTTTTTTTACTTTAAAGTAAAAAAGTTACTATGTTATATGTGGACAAAATATGTAAAACAGAGAATCCTATTCTTTCTGAATCTGCATCTTCAATAAAACTTATCTGACAAAAAATATTTTTGTTTTGTTTGTTTGTTTGTTTGTTTGTTTGTTTGTTTGTTACATTTCTTTTCAATTTTAGTCATTTTTACCACAATCACAACAAGGGTTTTTTATACAGTGGTTGACAAGGACATGATGTAATTCAATATAGTTTCCTGTGAGGATTGGGTTTAGGAGTATGTGTGGGGTAAGGCCATAGAACTAGCGATTATTACTGTATAAATTACTTTACGCAAATAGTCCCTATAAACCACAAATAGCCCACCAAAATGTGTGTGCGAGCGACGTGCTTGAGTGACCCCAGTCAATACAAGTAGGTGAATTGTGTACTGATATTACCTCGGTTTGTTGCAGTTGAATTTTTTGGTGATATTGTTGGAGCATTAGAGGTAAAGCTGACTATTACAGGCGCCAGAGCTCTGAGCTGATTCTCTGTAAAAACTGCACACTGCCAGTGCAGCGACTCTGTTTGATAGCTGGAGAGATTCAGTGTGAGATGCAATTTGTTGTTTTTCTCAGTCATCATTTTCTGTTGTTCCAGCACTCCTCTGTTTCTCTCCATCCTGAGCCAAACCAGCGTCACTGATTCAGTCACTTCAGAAAGCTCACAGGTGAGAAGCACAGACTGATTCCTCGACACAACACCAGGGGGCTCTACTGACACTGAAATCAACAGCAGATTTTTGCACATAATGCATTTATAAAACAATGGATTTGCATGTTCAAAGATCAGATGTAAATCATTTATTTTGTTCAGTAGAAACAAGCAAAAATACATATTAAAGGACCTAAAGATGTTGTGAGAATATAAGCCTCACTATCAAGTTCTTTTAATTAAATTGTGCCTGCACTGTACATTTGCTTAAGTTGAATTGAAAATTAGTTATCCCTTTAAAGAGCTCCATACAGTATAAAATGTTGACAAAGTAAGTAAGAATATGATTAAAACCTCTGATGGTGTGTAGTATTGTGGTTGTGTAGATGGTAGTTTCTGTAATGCACCTGTACGTGCCACTATAGTTGAAGAGGACAGGTGAGATGTGAAAGGTAAAAGCTTGACTGTTGTATGTGGTTGAAGAAAATCTTCCTGGTTTAATTGGTCCTTTGACTTGAACTTTTCCTCCTTTTTCAACTGTCATTAGATCAATCTGTGAATTAGGTCTCTTCTCCCACGTCCACCTCCAGCTATCATATTTCTTGCTAGACTTGCAGATCAGTGATACATCACTTTTGCTGGAGCTCTGTCTGTAAATAGTATGATTTTTGGTGTTTCTATGCGTGTCTGGAAAGAGAGTAGGTAACCCAGAGAATTTCATTAAATACACCACTGTTAGTACATTAACATTTTAAATATTTTAGGTTAAAATATTCTTTATGGAAACATTTTTATGGATTGTTATTTTTAGGCTTGCTAAATGTATACATACGTGTTTTGACAGTAAGCATGTGATTTGTAATAGTTTGTACACTTCCATCTTCGGTCAATCTGCAGTTATATTTGCCTGTACCATGTTCATCTACTGTGTGTAAGATGATGTAGGCAGAGTTGTTGTATATTAAAGTGGTGTTGGATGTTGGTTTTCCTTCTTTTGTCCACTGCAGTGTTGAGGATTCAGACAGAAGAGAGACATCACAGCGCAAACACACATCAGAGCCAGGAGAGACTTTGAAAGAATGAAATGTTAATAGGGTGAGAAATGCATCTTTATTACATTTAAAATGATGAAAATTGATATTGTTGTTTTTATTATTTTTTGCTCTGATGAAATTAAACTTACCTTCTTTTGGGGACTGAACAGTTTGACTTAATGGAAATTCTGTGTATGAAAAACAAGTTTTAACAATTACAAACCACAAACCTTGCTGAACAAAACTCCAGAAATTAGCAGAGGACTTTGCAAAAATACATTTTGTATTTATCAGCATTTCCTGAACATTTAAACAAACAGAGGCTTTATACTGTATCCCTTATAAATACACAGTTTTTATAAAATTGGTTGGTAACACTTTATTTTGATGATCTATTTCTGTCTGCTTAATATCTGTTGATAAGCTCCTTTAACAGACATTTAACTGACTATAAGAAACTTTTAAAGTACATGTCAACTTACACTAACCCTAACCCCAACCTCACAGTCTACTTATAATCTAATAATAATTAGTTGACATGTAGATGCACTTTAACAAATTCAACAAACGGATAATCAAAACAAAGTGTAACCATTTGGTTTGCTATTTATTGATGTAGTCATGTTTAATCTGCTGTCGTATAATATTTTACTTCAGACTTAAGTGCCTGAGGAACACTTCTGACCAATTGTTTAAAAAAAAAAAAAAAAACTTTACATTTGTTTTCAGTGAAACTGTTATCTTTAAATAGATTTTCAGTTTGAATGTAATGCCAGGAATGCTGTAATCTACAGATTATTGCACTGTACACATGACAAGGTTTTCTGTACAAAGACAAGATTGTTGTTCATTTTAAAATTATTAAAGTTGGTTAATGTCAGACTCACCAACAGCTTGAAATTTAGAACCAAATCCACAGATCAAAATAAAGGTTTTAAAAAATATAACTGACATGATTTTTTCCCCCCACTGCCTCGTGTAAACTGATGTAGTCTGAAGAGTTTAAAGAAAGAACTAGCCAGCAGCTTTTACTGGGCGGTACAATATTCAGATATCTGTCTGTCATAGAAAAGATCAGTCACCAAAAGAGTTTTACAGAAAACATCCGTTCTGAAAGATACTGTACTCGGTTACTACTAATATGTTCTGCAATGTGTTACAATGTTAAATTACAAGTAAACAAACATTCCACAAAGTCAACAAGGTGAGAATAAAATAATTGTATTTTATTAAATGTTCTGCATGCACAGGTATTGGTTCAAACTGCTTTGATTATTTTTTGGTTATCTTACCTAAATGAAATGTTTAAAAATATTACATTAAATTTAGACTGTGTGTTTTGCACATTTAGCAGGAAATGATTCGCTAAGTTGAAGTGATCTTGAGGTTTCACTCAGGCGCACGAATAAAGATCTAAAGTTTGATTAAAACTCACAACCACTTTTAATAAAGATCTGTTTTGAAACTTGGTTTCATTAAATGCATGTGAATAAAATATTTAGAATGTTATGCCCTTCAAATCTTGAAGACAAAAGTATTCTCTTACACTGATTTTATACTTTTCAGTAAAATGTAAACAATATAAATACTTATGTCACAATATACAGTTCAAGTCAGAATTATTAGCACCCCTTTGAGTTTTTTTTTTAACATTTCCTAAATGATGTTTAAGAGGAAGGAAATTTTCACAGAATGTCTGGTGGTAGTTTTTTCTTTTGGAGAAAGTCTTATTTGTTTTATTTTGGCTATAATAAAAGTATTTTTTAACCTTTTAAACTATTTAAGGGTAAAATTATTAGCCCCTTTAAGCTATATATTTTTAGTCTACAGAACAAATCATTGTTATACAACAACTTGCCTAATTACCTAGTTAAGCCTTAAAAATGTCAATTTAAGCTGTATAGAGGTGTCTTGAAAAATATCTAGTAAAATATTATTTACTGTCATCATGGCAAAGATAAAATAAATTAGTTATTAGAAATTAGTTATTAAAACTATTCTATTTAGAAATGTGTTGAAAAAATCTTCTCACTGTTAAACAGAAATTGTCTTACATGAGCAAACAAGATTGATCAGCTATAACTGATTCTTGTACTAAAATAAAGCTTTCATTCATTCATTTGATGTTTTTGAATCTATTTAATAGTAAATCATTAAATGTTCTGCTGAAGAGTTTCCATTGCCAAACTTAACTGTGCGGGCTGCATGTGTAGATGATTGTAGAACTGCAGTCGTCTATCTGAGATTTTCAGATAAATGTGTATTTATACTGTATGTGATTGACTTGAAACATTAGCAAATCAAAAAAACAATCTGAAAGGTTTATGATGTAATGTTGCATAGCTAACCTCTAAACTTGCATGACTGGTTTTAAATATGGGAAAACAATCACAATCACACACATACACACACACACACACACACACACACACACACACACACACAAGACAATGCGGTTGATTTGAGGCAATTTTGTAACTAATTTGTAAATAGTGGTTGACAAAAAAATGACAAATCCAATAATCGTAAATCATTTAGGTTAATCCAGAAAATATACATGCATGTGAAGCTCTGATCTTCAGTCAACAACATGACTGAACAAACAAACGAAACGGCACTGCTTATGATGTCTTATGATCAAAATAAAGTGGTATATTTTCCATCTGTTTGAATAAAAGAGCCTACTGGATAAAACTAAAGTAACATAAGAATTAATTAACTAACACATATACATTAAAGTTGAGGTAAGAAATGTTAGCTTTTCTGTTAATAGTCACTGAATGACTGTGTCCTCTCAAGCACTGAAGCTAAAACGGCTATTTAAGTAATGGAATACAAAATGTAGATAAAAACATATGTGAGTAAATGTTTAATACCTCTGACAGTGCGTATTAGGTTTGTGTGCTACATTATATCAGTCTGGAAAGACACAAGGTAACCTGGTGAATTTCATTTAATACATCATGGTTAGTACTTCTAAATTTGAAACTTTAAAAAATAAATGTCATTTTCATTCAACATAATTATTATCAGAGGGATAATAATTTTCAATTCAACTTAATACATAATTAATCCTAAACTAGATTAGGATTATTACATTATTATTCTCTAGGCATACCAAATGTATGCATACTTTTTACATTCATTTCTAACAGTTTGTATTCCTCCGTCTTCAGTCAGTCTGCACTAATATACCCCTATATTGTGTTTGTTTACTGTGTAAGATGATTTAGACAGAATTGTTGTATATCAGTGTGCTGTTGGACGTTGGTTTTCTTTCTTTCTGAAGGAAACAACCATTTCAAATAAGAGACACACAAGCAGCTAGTCTATTAGCACAATTACAGTATATTACCAGTTTCAAAAAAAATGCTCAGCATAATTGAGTACAGCCCATTTTGAAAATATATATTTTTATACATTTCTCAGTGAATATAGGCAATGTATTTTGGTACATTTAAACAAAAGATTTATTAAACAGATTTACTTATTCAAATAATATTTTTAAAATACATGATTCTTCATTCAAGCAAATATTGCACAGAATTCAAACAGGAAATATTCACTTTATTTTTCTAACTTTACCTGAGCAGTGCATTACTAAGAAATTTGTCTGTGAACATTTTAGATAAAATGTACATGCATAAAAGTTCTGTACTAAAGTACAATTTTATTTTCCTGTGTTTCTATTTGAATTATGTACACATGAATACAAGTCTTTTAAAATCTTATTTCTATGTGTTGGTTTAAGCAGCTGTATATACATAATATATTCGCTCATGTAGCTCATCATCAGAGAAGAGTAAGGGTTTACTAAACTGAATTTACTGATCTGGCGACGCAGTGGCGCAGTAGGTAGTGGTGTCGCCTGCCTGCAAAAAGGTTGCTGGTTCAGGCCTCGGCTGGGTCAGTTGGCGTTTCTGTGTGGAGTTTGCCTAATCTCCCTGCGTTCACTTGGGTTTCCCCTGGGTGCTCCAATTTCCCCCACAGTCCCAAGACATGCAGTACAGGTGAATTGGGTAGGCTAAATTGTTCATAGTGTATGAGTGTGAACGAGTGTGTATGGATGTTTCCCAGAGATGGGTTGCGGCTGGAAGGGTGTAAAAACGTGCTGTATGAGTTGGCAGTTTATTCCGCTGTGGCGACCCCAGATTAATACAAGGACTAAAGCCGAAAATAAAATTAATGAATTAATTTACTGATATTGAGGGCTCTCTTCAGTTTCACACGATCCTGCATAAAATCAATCTAATATGCTTCATATTTGATGTGTAAGAAACATTTTATTGTATATTTATAAAAAAGTGTGTAAATATATTTTTATTATTATTTTTCACTTATTTAAATGCCCTTCTGTGTTCATGTGTTGATACCTGTATGTATGTATGTACCCTGAGTTCCTTGTGTGTTTGCGCACAATTGTTGAATAAAGCTCATTCTGATTTTGATTAACATTACAAATATTTTTATTCCCATTTTTTAATCAATTTAATACATTCTTCCTGAAGGAATGTATTAAATTTACTTAAAAATACTGAATGGTTTGTGAATGAATGCATCAATGAGGTGATTAAATTACAATGAAAAATATATTATTAAAAATAATTATTATTAACAATTTTTTCCACTACACAGCTAAATGTCTGTGACTTTACACATCTCAAAATAATATACATTTAGGCTGTAAAGCACATAG